AAAAAAGTTCACAAAAAGTCGAAAACCGCAACTCTATTCTTACTACATCGCAAATGGGACACCCTGTACATATCATATAACTTCCAAAAAACAAAATATCCCCTTATAGTAGTAGTATATAGTATAGTAAAAAAAGAGTCGGAAAATTTCTCTCACGAATTCGAGATTTTCGCTTCGTCCGCGGTACTACTTTTTATTTTCACGATGACTGGTCTAGCAAAACAGCAAATCACCTATGAGCGCAAACCTTGAAAAATTCACTCTCGGTGCAATAATTACCCCGTGCAAGGCTCGCCGTGGTTTGGAGAGCAAGGCTTCCCGATGATGTTGATTTTTTCACATATTTAGAGTGATGAGTTGCGGCTCGACCTCGAGGGATGGATTAGTACTCGTCGTGCATCGCTCCGGGCTGCGAAACTTCAACGTTGGAAAAAAGAAATTATTTTGAAGGACTCTGCATCGACAGATGTGTAATTATAGATAGGTGTCCTGGATGGTAGGAAGAATATCCGCTTGGTATTTTTATCTTTGAGTAATCGAGAAGGCAAGGCTCGAATACCGGGGTATTGTGGCAGCTAGAAGGAGATTACAATATTAGCTTTTCAGGAGAAGTCGACTGGAAGGCAGATTCCAAATATTAACACAGCATTCACATGACAAATCATAGAAGACGTATGTGAATCCCATAGCGCTTTTGTGGTACTGCTACTATAAAGCAGAGTGGTACCTAGAACAAACCGTTTTGTTAAACGTGAAACGTCTTTATCGCTTTTATCAGATGAAGAAAGCTGGATGAAATTATCTTTTATTTCTACGTGAAGTGAGAAACGCATTGGAAGTAGTACCACTGACTAAATTTTCCACAGCGTAGTGGTATCCGGATCAGTACGAGACCTCAGACGGGGGACAGCTTTCATGCTGGTTATCAGAGAAAAAGCTTCATGAGATTCCCTTTTCTATCTAAATTGTAAAAATATCCCAGAGTAGTTTTATAGAACTTGATTGCAACTTCCAGTGAGCACGAAATCCTATGGTACCGCCATAGTACTTCTCGCTTCTATCATACAGCGAACTAACCCAATGACTCTCGTTCCTGTTAAACTCAGGGAAGCTTTTACAGCGCCTATGATTCAAAAAAGTTTGATGCAATTGCTTTTCTTTACCAAAACATGAGACTTCCAAAGTAGTACTAGTAGTACTTAGGACGCATTGGTCAAGGATCATCCCCAACGGACAGTGAATCAGAAATTCCATGTTATTAGTGTGGTACTAGTCAATTCTATAACACAGTGGAGTCGTACCCAATTTAAAGCATAGCGTAGCGAAACAGCTTGATGGAATTGCCTCTCCTGCCTGAAGTGATTCTCTCAAAGTAGTACCAGTCGTACTTATTAAAGCTTTCAAAATGAACCAGTCGAGCAAACTTAGTCTTCATCAGACAGAAAATGTTAATGGAATTGTTTTTCTTGACCAGTGTGAGACTTTTTCCAAGTAGTATCTGTAGTACTTTCGAAAACTTCTACGATACAATAATAGTACTTATTAAAGCTTTTACAATAAATCAGTCAAGCAACCTTCAGCATACTAAAGACAGCAAGCGTAAAATCCTTTAATACCACCAACCGTGGTACTACTCACTCATCGAAGTGGTACCCAAACTGAATAGATGGCTCTCGTCTTAGACATGATGAAGCTTTTAACAGCATTATCAGACAGAAAGCTGCAGTGAAATCGGTTTTCTTGACCAAAGTGTGGGAGTAGTACTGTAATCACTTACGAAAACTTCGATCAAGTTTCCTCCAGCGTCCTTTGAGCACATCGGGTAGTGGGCAATTCCATGTTTATTAATGTAGTATCTACTGCTGACTTTAATCGTATACTCACGTGGTACCGAATTCAAAGCAATTCATCTGTATTTTGCTAAATACAGGAGAGCTTCAAGACTGCACGCCAAGCAAAAGAGCTTGATGGACTTGCATTTTGTACCTGAAGTGAGAGACTCTCCCAAAGTAGTACCTTTAGTATACCCAAGTCCACAACCACAGTACTACAAACTCCTCATCAAAGTAGTACCGGAACTAAATCGATAGCTTTCGTCTTTGTTAGGCAAACGAGAACTTCTACAGCGCTTATAAAATACAAGAGCTTGATGGAATTAGTTTTCTTCAGTCAAGTGTGAGACTTTTCCAAAGTAGTACTGGTAGTATTTAGAACACATTAGTCAAGCATCCTCCATCATCCTCAAAGTTCAGCAGATACGGTGGACTCGCAATTTAACGTTATTAATGAGGTACTGACGACTTCCATCATGCGGAGAAGTAGTATGCAATCCAAAGCAAGTGTTCTGCCTTTTGTTAGATACAGCAAAGCTTCAAGAGCGCACGCTAAGCAAAAGAGCTTGATGGACTTGCGTTTTGTACGTGAAGTGAGAGACTCTCCCAAAGTAGTACCATTAGCGTCCATCAAAGCTTCCATAATGAAACGGTCAAGCAAACTTTAGTATACTCAAGTCCACAACCGCAGTACTACTCATCAAAGTAGTACCGGAACTAAATCGATAGCTTTCGTCTTTGTTAGTCAAAGGAGAACTTCAACAGCGCTTATAAGATACAAGAGCTTGATGGAATTAGTTTTCTTCAGCCACGCGTGACACTTTTCCAAAGTAGTACTGGTAGTATTTAGAACATATTAGTCAAGCATCCTCCATCATCGTCAAAGTTCAGCAGATACGGTGGACTCGCAATTTAACGTTATTCATGAGGTACTGCCTACTTCCATCATGCGGAAAGTAGTACCCAATCCAAAGCAAGTGTTCTGCCTTTTGTTAGATACAGCAAAGCTTCAAGAGCGCACGCTAAGCAAAAGAGCTTGATGGACTTGCGTTTTGTACCTGAAGTGAGAGACTCTCCCAAAGTAGTACCATTAGCGTCCATCAAAGCTTCCATAATGAAACGGTCAAGCAAACTTTAGTATACTCAAGTCCACAACCGCAGTACTACTCATCAAAGTAGTACCGGAACTAAATCAATAGCTTTCGTCTTTGTTAGGCAAAGGAGAGCTTTTACAGCGCTTATAAGACACAACAGCTTGATGGAATTAGTTTTCTTCAGCCAAGCGTGACACTTTTCCAAAGTAGTACTGGTAGTATTTAGAACACATAAGTCAAGCATCCTCCATCATCCTCAAAGTTCAGCAGATACGGTGGACTCGCAATTTAACGTTACTAATGTGGTACTGCTTACTTCCATCATGCAGTGAAGTAGTACCCGATCCAACGTAAGTGTTCTGCCTTTTGTTAGATACAGCAAAGCTTCAAGAGCGAACGCTAAGCAAAAGAGCTTGATGGACTTGCATTTTGTACCTGAAGTGAGAGACTCTCCCAAAGTAGTACCTTTAGTATACTCAAGTCCACAACCACAGTACTACTCACTCCTCATCAAAGTAGTACCGGAACTAAATCGATAGCTTTCGTCTTTGTTAGGCAAACGAGAACTTCAACAGCGCTTATAAGATACAAGAGCTTGATGGAATTAGTTTTCTTCAGCCAAGCGTAACACTTTTCCAAAGTAGTACTGGTAGTATTTAGAACACATTAGTCAAGCATCCTCCATCATCCTCAAAGTTCAGCAGATACGGTGGCCTCGCAATTTAACGTTACTAATGTGGTACTGCTTACTTCCATCATGCAGTGAAGTAGTACCCGATCCAACGTAAATGTTCTGCCTTTTGTTAGATACAGCAAAGCTTCAAGAGCGCACGCTAAGCAAAAGAGCTTGATGGACTTGCGTTTTGTACCTGAAGTGAGAGACTCTCCCAAAGTAGTACCATTAGCGTCCATCAAAGCTTCCATAATGAAACGGTCAAGCAAACTTTATTATACTCAAGTCCACAACCGCAGTACTACTCATCAAAGTAGTACCGGAACTAAATCGATAGCTTTCGTCTTTGTTAGGCAAAGGAGAGCTTTTACAGCGCTTATAAGACACAACAGCTTGATGGAATTAGTTTTCTTCAGCCAAGTGTGAGACTTTTCCAAAGTAGTACTGGTAGTATTTAGAACACATTAGTCAAGCATCCTCCATCATCCTCAAAGTTCAGCAGATACGGTGGACTCGCAATTTAACGTTACTAATGTGGTACTGCTTACTTCCATCATGCAGTGAAGTAGTACCCGATCCAACGTAAGTGTTCTGCCTTTTGTTAGATACAGCAAAGCTTCAAGAGCGCACGCTAAGCAAAAGAGCTTAATAGACTTGCATTTTGTACCTGAAGTGAGAGACTCTCCTAAAGTAGTACCATTAGCGTCCATCAATGCTTCCATAATGAAACGGTCAAACAATCTTTAGTATACTCAAGCCCACAACTGCAGTACTACTCATCAAAGTAGTACCGTAACTAAATCGACAGCTTTCGTCTTTGTTAGGCAAAGGAGAGCTTTTACAGCGCTTATCACAACAGCTTGATGGAATTAGTTTTCTTCAGCCATGTGTGAGGCTTTTCCAAAGTAGTACTGTTAGTATTTAAAACACATTAGTCAAGCATCGTCCATCATCCTCAAAGTTCAGCAGATACGGTGGACTCGCAATTTAACGTTATTAATCAGGTACTGCCTACTTCCATCATGCGGAGAAGTAGTACGCAATCCAAAGCAAGTGTTCTGCCTTTTGTTAGATACAGCAAAGCTTCAAGAGCGCACGTTAAGCAACTGAGCTTGATGGTTCTGCGATTTGTATCTGAAGTGAGAAACTCTCCCAAAGTAGTACCATTAATGTTCATTTTAAGCTTCTATAATGAACCCGTCAAGCAAAAATTAGTATCCTCAAGTGGGCAAGCCCAAAATCCAACCACCGTAGTACTACTTACTCCTGCTATACATCGAAGTAGTACCCGAATTGAATAGAATCAGACAAAACAGATTGACTGAATTGAATTTTCCTAAGTAGTACCATTATTACGAATAAAAACGTCAATAACGAATCGGTCAAGCAAACTTGAGTATCCTCAAAACGGCGGGACAGGCGCGAAATCTCGTGATACCACCAACCAAGGTACTGCTAACTCCTACCATAGATCGAAGCGGTACCCGGACCAAAGTACCATCTCGACTAAACCGCGTATAAAACGTGGCTGATGTGCCGGGCCCGCGAGATATACGAAAAGTACCATCGCGGTGTCGTGTTCACATTCTCATTCTCATACGTGGTACTACTTGCATCTGATACACACATTTCATTTGGATGGTATAGAGTGGGTGTGCGTCTGTTTCGTAATAGGCACAGCAGCTTGTTTTGGACCCACCGGGGACTACTTTAAACAAGGTGAGTCGTGATGTAATTTTGTGCGTTTTGTTCTGGTATTTCGAGAGCATAGGGTAATATATAAGATAAATAAGGTAAATTGGTTATATTGGACTTGATAAATAAGCAGTACGTTTTTTGAAAATTATCTTTACGGCAGAACTAAATGTGATACCTTCTATTGTGCCTTAAAGTTCTATATTAGGACCTATACTATTTTTAATTTATACTTTTGATTTAAACAAAGCTATTAATTATCAGTCATTTGCTGATGATACTCAGTTAATGCATAGCAAAAATTTCGCAAAGCGACGTTAACAATTTGATAGACTATTATTCTAATTACAGTCTGAAAATAAATTCAGAAAAATCCAAAATATTGTTTTGTAATGAAAAAAAAATAAATAAAAATAAAAATTTTGCTTCATCTCAGTTCAAGATTTCTATAAATGATAAAGTTTTAGAGTTTGCTGAGTCTGCAAAAATACTTGGAGTAGTTTTAGTCACCAAAATGTGTCCCAAAAAACGTATCCCAGGTTACGTATTTTTATAACAAATCGATATTTACCGAATTTTAAGCTTTGTAAAAATCTAGGCCAGAGTTTAGTCGTATCTGTTCTAAATTACTGTAATATCCTCTTTTTTCCATCATTAGATTGCCTTATAAAAAAACATTATAAAAATCATTCAAAATAATTGTGTACGGTTCATTTTTGGAATACAAAATTATTATTATTATTAAATAACAAGGTAATGTAGCTTGAATAATTGTAAGTCCACATCAATATCCAAAAATGAGATTTTTGGAGTGTCGACCTTTCAAGATTATGCTTTTTTGACTTCGTGCCGAAATGGACAAAAACCGGAAAATACACAATGCTTAAAAATCATCTATAGACAATAGACAAAAATCATTGTCATTTTAATCTTCACTTAGAAAAAAACTGAAATGTCGTCGGTACAGTGTAATTTCTACATATGAAACCTCATTTAACTAAAAAAATGGAGTTTTATACAAAAATCAAGTAAGAATTACGGATGCCCTTCTTATGTCAATATAGAGCTTTAAATTAAATAAAAATAAGCTTCCATTAAATATGTTTATTGAAACTAAAATCCAACTAAAAATCACACATAAGTAACTAAAATGATCAACTACTTCTAAAGGAACATCACTGATTGAATAAATAACCATATTGAGATGTTTACACTTAAAAACTTGATCAATCTTTTTTTGTGTTATGAACTGATGACATAATTGCATTGGAAGTGCAGAGTCAACCTACGTGACACCACTTTTTTGTATATTAATGATCAATGCCTTATGATAGGCGTCTAGTGAGGCTTACCTCTCTGGTAAAAAAAGTTACGTTCCTAACTGATCATTAGAGTCTCCAGTGAATTATTAATTTTATTTGAACAGCATCTACCGCAGATTGGTTATGTACGAACCGTGTGATCGATTTTCTTTGTTCTTCAGCGGTCATCATACGTTTGTGTATTTAAGTGAAAATTGACGACAGGTGGATGTTGTGTGGAGGGTTTGTGGTCTAATAAACGGACTTCATTCAGGTTGCTTCCAATCAGCCTTCTTAATATGCAAACTTCCATCCATGAAGTCACAGAGAAACTATGTAGATGGGCGACTGACAATGTTAACGCGGGGATCCCCTGGTCAATCCGAACTACAGACTGCTGGAATCCCATCCTAACCGTATCGAACTTTGTATTCCCGAACTGGTCAGTACAACCGTTCGTTTGGTCCTAGATTGTCGAGATCGTGGGACAACAAGCTGTCTCTAACCTCCTCAGCCTGCGCGGGTGCTTCACTATTGTCTGATGCAATGCTGTCGCTCATGAATTCATATTTGAGGGATAGAAGGTTATTTGTCGAATATGGTGGTCATAGGTCGAGTTACTATTGGGCCACGTCTGGGGTACCTCAAGGTTCAAATCTAGGTCCATTATTGTTTTTAATATTTATTAATGACTTGTCTTTTGAACTGAAGTGTTTCCATTTGTTTTTCGCTGATGACCTCAAAATCTGCACGTCAGTCAAGACAGTCGAGGATTGCGTCATGTTGCAAGATGACTTAGCTCTAATTTCGTCATGGTGTTTACGAAACTGTCTCAGTCTGAATGTTTCGAAATGTAAAGTTATGACTTATACAAGAAAAGTGAACTATTTAATTTATGATAATTATAACATCAATGGTCAGGTTATAGACAGATGCACCTCTTATAGAGACCTTGGAGTCATATTTGACACCAAGCTAACGTTTACTGAGCACATACTCAATATCTCGTCGGCTGCCACTCGACTACTTGGTTTCTGTATCAGAAACTGGAAGGGTTTCTCCAATGTTGATACATTAATAACTTTATTTTTTACTCTTGTCAGGAGCAAGTTGGAGTATGCAACTCTGATCTGGTCTCCTATATACCAAAATTCTGTCGTGATGCTTGAGGCCATTCAACGTAAAGCTGTAAAGTATTTTCACCTTAAATGCACAGGTTCTTATCCAGAAAGAGGTTGTGACCATAGTGCCCTATTAGAGTCTTTCAATTTGGATTCACTGTCAACAAGACGAAACATATTTGCTTTGTCGTTTTTGTATGGCCTCATTCACAACAAAATTGACTGTCAAAATTTACTTGAAAAAATATGTTTCCGCGTTCCAAGGCTAGGGAGTCGACAACAAATGGCATTCTATTGTCAAGCTGGCCGTACAAATGTTATGACAAAATCGCCAATTAATTTCATGTGCTGCGTCATGAACAGTGTTACTGAATCGTGTGATATTTACAGTGACAGTTGTGCAACGATTATTAACTGTTATAGATCATCCAATCTTATTTAGAATGTGTGATACTATAGATTTAAGTCCAAGAACCATGTCTCTTTAATTGCTATTTTTTCAGCGTTTCCTGTAATTGGGTTTCACCTGTTGGAAATAAATAAATAAATAAATAAATAAATAAATAAAAAGTAATTGTTTCTTATGGGTACCCCTAAACATATCGTCAAGTATCCCTATATAATAATAATATCATTACAGGAGGCGAGATTTAGATAATACACCTATTCTACCATCTAATTACGTTAACAATACGAGATGTATAACAAAAATCTGGGGTCTTTTGTTACTGTCAATAGTTACAAGAACGACAATGCCTCTAAGTGACCAGATTTGTCTATGGCCACTACTGGATCTACCTTCTCGGCTATTGCCTATCTATCTTGCCATTTGTTTGATATAAGGCGAATTCAAGATTGGCAGTAGCAATCAAAATTACGAGGGGTGCTAGAAAAGAAATCTACCTAACCATTAAACAAATGAAACGATTTTTTTTGTAATTTCATTTTTCTATACTCGTATATTTGCACTTGTGATATTTCTCCTCGAGTGATCTTATGCCGTTTAAAAAATGTTTTCTCGTGACTGTCAAAAAAGTCGTCGCAATCATCTGAGTCAAAACGGCGTCCTGTAAGATTGTTCTTTTGTAATCTAAAGAGATAAAAGTCAGACTTTAGGGAAGACGATCAAATTTAAATTCCTTTATTGGGTCCGAACATTACAAAAGTATGGCAGGAACACATACATAACATACTATGTTTCTAAAAATTAAAGACGACAAACTAAAAGAACAACAAACAAACTGAATACGTGCAAGTGAATACCAAGTCAATGGACCTCCTGACAAGTGTATTACTTCAGGTTATTTGTTTAATCAATTCTCAAATCAACTCAAATTTTGCAAGTAAGATAAGAACACCTCGTACTTTTCAACGTTCTGTGGTCAATGCAGCTTCTAAAGCTGTTGAGTCAACCTGCTTGACTACATTTTTTCCAATGAGTTGACAATTGTGATTACGCTGTTTGATTCCTGGAAAGCTATTTACTTTAGACATTTTAAATGCCGCCTATAACACTGTTTGCTATTGAATCACATCAATATTTTAGACTGTTGAATAATGTTTTTATGACTATATTTACACATGCTCTGCACAGATTGATATATGCATAAAGAAATACCTATTACCTACTTCCAACGACGATAATTAATTATTGTACCAGAGAATGATGATGTCAAGACAGTGATATGTCAATATAAATTGTTGTCAATGAGGTTGCTATCTAGTCGTAAAGTACTGCGCTTTTTTCGTATAGAGCTACTTTCAGAAAATTTTCAAGGAAAAAGACGGTAGCGGGAAATATTAAATCGGGGATAATTATGAGGAGAGAACCTGCAAAACATGCTATCATTGTCTTGTTCTAAGCGATAGAAGGATCACAGACCTTCATGAAGTATGGCGTAACATTGCTTGACGCATCAGTGATGGAACATGTATGAAGAAGTACTTACGAACATAAAATTGCTATCATGAAATGTTCTGGCATAAGTCACTTCATACGTCATATGATACGTCCATTTGCACCAATCACAGAATGACAAAACGCACGTGATCATGCTCGTTTTTGAAATTTAAAATTCACCGCAAAGTCAAACTATCGCGCCGTTTTTATTCTTGTGCTCGGCTTTTCATCTTCAAAATTTTCCAAATTTTCCAAATTTCCAGTTTTCAAAGTTTTCAAAACCTTCAAAATTTTCAAAATTTTCAAAATTTTCAAAATTTTCAAAATTTTCAAAATTTTCAAAATTTTCAAAATTTTCAAAATTTTCAAAATTTTCAAAATGTTCAAAATTTTCAAAATTTTCAAAATTTTCAAAATTTGCAAAATTTTCTAGGATTTCAAAATTTTCTAAATTTTCAAAATTTTCTAAATTTTCAGAATTTTCAAAATTGTCAAAATTTTCAAAATTTTCACAATTTTCAAAATTCAAATTTCAAAATTTTCAAAATTTTCAAAATTTTCAAAATTTTCAAAATTTTCAAAATTTTCAAAATTTTCAAAATTTTCAAAATTATTCAAAATTTTCAAAATTTTCAAAATTTTCCAAATTTCCAGTTTTCAAAGTTTTTGTAGACTAATCCTACCGAAGAGCACACACATCTA